TCCATCCATCCATCCATCCATCCATCCATTCATCCATCCATCCATCCATCCATTCATCATCTATCCATCCATTCATCCATCCATCCATCCATCATCCGTCCATCCATCCATCCATCCATCCATCCATCCGTCAATCTTCCATCCATCCATTTTCAATCCGTGGTTTGAGTTTTTTTACACATTTTTCCAGTTTGTTAATATGAGTTTTTTTTTTTCTGAGTTATCCAGAGTTTCTCTGGATCCCATTTTGGAATAAACGGTTAGGAAAATGGATGTATGGATATAGAGTTAAAGTTTAAATTTACACTTTGATTTTCAGTGTACATGAACGTTAAAGTCTTATCTGTATTATGGGATAAATAGTACAGGTAACTTCATCTCATTTACATATAGGCCACAAGGAAAGTTTTTTCTTCCCACATTAACCAAAAATAGACATTTATGAGGTCAATTTCGTCACTTTTTTCCAGCCAATTATGACTCCAACCGGCTGTAATTTACTACTGTCTTCACACTTTAATGCTGCGTACTTTACTTTAACCTCGGTGACTCTCTCAAATATTGGTCCTGAGCATCGCTTTACCGGAGCAAAAGTCACTTTCAAGGATTTATTTTCATACCTCAAAGCCCTCTTACAGACGTGGAGGGCTTCGGTATTTAAGGCTTTTTTATTTTTTTATTTTTTACATCTTTATTATGATTTACCATACTGAATGTTTTAATTATTTTCTGCATGGTGATGAATTTTATGATGCAATGTTGGAGTTTGGGTACATACAGTAAGAGCTTTGTACCAGATTTATCTGGTTTTGTAGTATTCTTGTGCACACAAACAAGGTGAGGAAATGATAGATAGATAGATAGATAGATAGATAGATAGATAGATAGATAGATAGATAGATAGATAGATAGATAGATAGATAGATAGATAGATAGATAGATAGATAGATAGATAGATAGATAGATAGATACTTTACATTAAACACGACATACACTACAGTTCACACATTATCTTACAAAATCACTACAATACTAAATTAACACAACTACCAGATCAACATTACTAGGGGATAAAAAGTACTAAAAAGCACTAGAATACGAGATACTAAATACTAAATAGTTCTACTTTACACCATGGACAGTAGAGGTGGAAAGCTTTTTTAACCCTTTAAAGCCTGATCCAAGAACAAAACAAAACATAAAATTACTTTTTTTTGGTTTGAATTCCTTATTTGGCCTTTTAACAAAATATGTAAAAAGAAAAAACAGAAATACATTTTTGATATTAATAATTTATTACTATGCGATAAGTCAAGATTATTTTTTGTGTAGTCTTCTGCACCCTGTTATCAGGTGTATCTGATTGTGTACAATAGGATTTTGAGCAAAGTTTTTACCATTAAATTAAGCAAAAGGTGTCAGACGCAAAACATTTCAGAAACCGTATGTATCAAATATGATACATTTGGCATTACAGGGTTAAACAGAAAGAGCTTCCCATGTGACCACTCCAGATTTCAGCTTAGGAAAGTTAACAGCATTTCCCCAAATCCCCTCCTGGTTAACCCTGTAATGCCAAATGTGTCATATTTTGCATAATTTAATGGTAAAAACTTTGCTCTAAATCCTATTGTACAGAATCAGATACACCTGATAACAGGGGGCAGAAGACCACACAAAAAATAATCTTGACTTATCGCATAGTAATAAATTATTAATATAAAAAATGTATTTCTGTTTTTTCTTTTTACATATTTTGTTAAAAGGCCAAATAAAGACTTAAAACCCCAAAAAATTAATTTTCTGTTTCGTTTTATTCTTGGATCAGGCTTTAAAGGGTTCATTTTTGTCAAAATACTACTTGATAAGAGTCAGAAAACGTGGTTGAAATCTACAGAGAGCAGAATGAAGTCATTTTTATGTTAATTTTTAAAGGACTGGTAGCATCTCCAGCTTTCAGACCGTTATTTTCCTTTTTACATTCCTGCTGGTTGGAAGCAGAGCTCATTGGAAACCCTGTTACTCATGTAAAACGTTATTAGCATTTAGAAAGGACGGATAAACCCCGACACACTGTTTAACTCCATCAGATCTCCTCAGACCTGAACAAAAAAAAGCTGGAGCCCGAGACTCAGCGGAACCCTCTGATTAAAAGTCTATTTCTGCTGAAAGACAGCCGCCACACGCTGGGAATCGTCACAAAAAACGAAAACTGAGGCTCAGAGCTTATCTCAGGACATAAAGACCGAAATAATGAGCTGCAACATTGCACATTTCAATTGTTCATTTGTACATTCACACCTGTATACGTTCTTCCTGGTTAAATAAAGACTTCCTGGTTAAATAAAGGTTAAATAAATAAATAAAAACACACTTTTGATATTTGTAATATATCCATATTTCTATTCTCAGATCTATATTTTTTTGAAAGGTTGCACTTTTTAGTTTGATATTTTCTGTTCTATGTTTTTATTTCTACATTGTGTTTCATTGCTTCTCATAGAAGTGTTGTGCACCAAACACCAAGGCAAATTCCTTGTAAGTCTATAAAAACCTTCTTGGCAATAAACCTAATTCTGATTCTGATTCTGATTGTGAAAAACGGGAGGGAAACCGAGGGAAGGCGGAGAAAAGAAAATGGAGGAAAAGACGGAAAGGGAGAGACTGAGGAAACTCAGAAAGATGGAGCAGTCACCAAAGAACAAGAAAAACTACAAACTCCAGTACTGGAAATTTACCAAAGACAAAAACACAACAAAAAAAAACACAAAAAAAC